GCGCACTGGTCTCACATACATATACATTCATGCGCGCACATGCACACACACACACACACACACACAAACACACACAAAATACATCAGAAGGCAGTTATCCGAACTGCCTTCAGGAACATGTGTAAGGAATTATTCAGAACCTTGTATACCACGTATGTAAGACCAACCCTGGAGTATGCGGCTCCCACCGTGGAGCCCGTACCTTGTCAAGCACATGACGAAGCTGGAAAAAGTTCAGAGGTATGCCACTAGGCTAGTCCCAGAACTAAGAGGCATGAACTACGAGGAAAGGCTGCGGGAAATGCACCTTACGACACTGGAAGATAGGAGAGCTCGGGGAGACATGATCAATACCAACAAAATTTTAAGAGGAATCAACAGGGTAGATGAAAATATATTGTTTAACACGGGTGGGACGCGAACAAGGGTATACAGGGAGACTGAGTACCCACATGAGCCACAGGGACGTTAGAAAGAACTTTTTCAGTGTCAGAGTAGTTAACAGGTGGAATGCATTAGGCAGTGATGTGGTGGAAGCTGACTCCATACACAGTTTTAAATGTAGATATGATAGAGCCCAGTAGGCTCAGGAACTTGTACACCAGTTGATTGACAGTTGAGAGGCGGGACCAAAGAGCCAGAGCTCAACCCATGCAAGCACAACTAGGTGAGTATACATACGAACACACACACATACACACACACACACACATACGAACACACACACACACACACACACACACACACACACACACACACACACACACACACACACACACACACACACACACACACACACGCACACACACACATACGAACACACACACACATGTTCCGGTCAAAAAGACATATAAACCATTGAGGCTCAACACTCAGTACCTCGCCAGCTGACACCTCCCTCACCACCAAAGACGTTTCCCCTCACTGATGACACCTCAAACTTTCTCCCAGTGACACCAGCTGCAACATGGCACTCTTGTACCAGCGTGTACACACTGGCACAACCACCACCAGCATGTACACACTGGTGGTGGTGGGGTTGTACCAATGTGTACACACTGCTGGTGGTGGGGTTGTACCAATGTGTACACACTGGTGGTGGTGGGGTTGTACCAATGTGTACACGCTGCTGGTGGTGGGGTTGTACCAATGTGTACACACTGGTGGTGGTGGGGTTGTACCAATGTGTACACACTGCTGGTGGTGGGGTTGTACCAATGTGTACATACTGGTGGTGGTGGGGTTGTACCAATGTGTACACACTGCTGGTGGTGGGGTTGTACCAATGTGTACACGCTGCTGGTGGTGGGGTTGTACCAATGTGTACACACTGGTGGTGGTGGGGGTTGTACCAGCGTGTACACACTGGCACAACCACCACCAGCATGTACACACTGGTGGTGGTGGGGTTGTACCAATGTGTACACGCTGCTGGTGGTGGGGTTGTACCAATGTGTACACACTGGTGGTGGTGGGGTTGTACCAATGTGTACACGCTGCTGGTGGTGGGGTTGTACCAATGTGTACACGCTGCTGGTGGTGGGGTTGTACCAATGTGTACACGCTGCTGGTGGTGGGGTTGTACCAATGTGTACACACTGGTGGTGGTGGGGGTTGTACCAGCGTGTACACACTGGCACAACCACCACCAGCATGTACACACTGGTGGTGGTGGGGTTGTACCAATGTGTACACGCTGCTGGTGGTGGGGTTGTACCAATGTGTACACACTGGTGGTGGTGGGGTTGTACCAATGTGTACACGCTGCTGGTGGTGGGGTTGTACCAATGTGTACACACTGGTGGTGGTGGGGTTGTACCAATGTGTACACGCTGCTGGTGGGGGTTGTACCAAGCATATAAATCTAGCTCGTATAAACTAACTTGTTATTATATCTACTAGAATCATTTCATTATTGATTATAATAGTCTCGGCTAGATTATGTACAGTGTTCAGATCATTTGGTCATCGAACAGAACCAGTATTTACAGTCACAGTACTGTGTTTTATCATTTTTATCCATTGTATAAAATACAATGCTGATGTGTTGAAATGCCTGCAGGTACTGTATTTTCTCCATTTAAGACCACTATATATATCCTTGAGGAACACTACCTGGCCCCTTACTACCACTGTCCTTCCTAGGACTTGAGGAGTTGCTAGGCTTGCAGCCTACCAAACGACCTTTAAAAAAGATACTTTAGTATCGATAAAAAAGGACTTTAAGTAAGACTTTAAATCCTAAGTAATTCTCTTCCTTAATATCATCCCGGCATTTTTTCCACAATCTCTTTGACACATCTGATTCTCTAGCTTCCATCCGTGACACCTTGTTCTACTAATATTCCTTGTAAACATTTCCTCTGTTTCCACCTTGTCAAGGCCTCTAAGTATCTTATACGTCTGTATCATGTTCCCCACCCCTCTCCCTCCTCCTTTCTAACGTGGTCAGGTTTAGTTCCTTCAGTCTGTCTTCGTTCCTCATCCCTCGCCGCTCTGGGACGAGTCTCGTTGCAAACTTCTGCATATTTGTGCGTGCGTGCGTGCGTGTGTGTGCGCGCGCGTGTGTGTGTGTGTGTGTGTGTGTGTGTGTGTGTGTGTGTGTGTGTGTGTGTGTGTGTGTGTGTGTCCGCGCGCGCGCGCGTGCGTGTGCGTGTGTATTTATTATTTGTGCCTGCAGAATCGTGCTATTAGTTCTTGGACCCCGCCTTTCTAACCAATTTATTTTTCCTCTATTATGTCTACTACATACATTCACTCAAACACACACACACACACACAAATCCCCAGGAAGCAGCCCGTAACAGCTGTAACTCCCAGGTACTTATTTACTGCTAGATGAACAGAAGCATCAGGGTGAAAGAAAATGCCCAATTGTTTCCGCCTCCGCCGGAAATCGAACCTGGACCATTAAGATTACGACCCTCCGAGCGCTGTCCACTCAGCCTAGTGTGTGTGTGTGTGTGTGTGTGTGTGTGTGTGTGTGTGTGTGTGTGTGTGTGTGTGTGTGTGTTTGAGTAGAGGGGGGGGGGGGAGCCTGATGTTAGAATACACTGACGGGCATCAAGGAAAAATATTGTCTTTGAAATTATATTTCATGGTGGGGGAGATTTTTTTTTAAACAATTCTCAAAGTCGTTTGAATTTGAATTTTGAATTTCCCGCGCGCTGCGAATTTTTTCAAAGTCAGTGTCAACTAACGACGGTTATTTTTGTTTTGTTTACCTCATAAAAAACGCATGGCTTCATTTTCGCAAAGTATAGTTTAATGCGTATGGAATCAAAGCTGCCATGTTGCTCGGTCTGTCTATATAATAACTATTCGCTAAGGACCTATTGTGTTTCATAACGGTAGGTGCGACGGAACGGCTATACGGCACGGTTAATAAGTACCGGTAAACAGAACAATAACACGGGATGGAATATAAGTACCGTTAATAAAGATTATTCGTTACCGGTCACAGCCTGTCTCTGTTGGCGCCGTTGTGTGAATACGAACACACACACACACACACACACACACACACACACACACACACACACACACACACACACACACACACACACACACACACACACACAGGTGGAGAACGAGTACCCAAATGAGCCACAGGGACGTTAGAAAGAATTTTTTCAGTGTCAGAGTATTTAACAGGTGGAATGCATTAGGCAGTGATGTGGTGGAGGCTGACTCCATACACAGTTTTAAATGTAGATATGATAGAGCCCAGTAGGCTCAGGAACTTGTACATCAGTTGATTGACAGTTGAGAGGCGGGGCCAAAGAGCCAGAGCTCAAACCCCGCAAGCACAATTAGGTGAGTACAACAAGGTGAGTACACACACAGTTTCAAAGCGTTATATGACAAAGAGTATTGGGCTGACGGGACACCACGAGCGCAGCTCTCATCCTGTAATTACACTTAGGTAATTACAGTTAGGTAACTACACTTAGGTAATTACAGTTAGGTAATTACAGTTAGGTAACACACACACAGGTAGGCCACTAGTCTAGTGGCAGAATTAAGAGGCATGAGTTACGACTAAAGGCTGCGAGAAAGGCTTCCTCACATCGCTGGAAGACAGGAGGACTCTGGGAAACATGATCACCACATACAAAATTCTCAGGGGAATTGACAAGGTAGACTAAGATGGATTATTTAACATGGGAGGTACACACACAAGGCGACAGCGGTGGAAGCTGAGTATCCAAATGAGCCACAGAGACATTAGCAAGAACTTTTTCAGTGTCAGTAGTTAGTAAATGGAATGCATTAGGCAGTGATGTGGCGGAAGCTGACTCCATACAAAGTTTCAAATGTAGATATGATAGAGCCCAGTAGGTTCAGGAACCTGTACATCAGTTGATTGATAGTTGAGAAGCTGAACTAAAGAGCCGAAGCTCAACTCCCGCAAGCACAACTAGGTGAGTAAACACAGTCATCCTAGCTTGATTGGCATGGTCTATTGACAAGTATCGAGATCAATTCCCGATGATCTAAATGAATGCAATGATTATTCATTTTTTCGGTATGTCCTTCGATGGGACTACTGAGGGAGCTCTCGCACCATTCGAGGCGATTTCCGGATCGATTACGGAGGGTAATATATCGTTTTTTATGGTAATGAGGGACCAAAACCGTCAGTAGTTTAAAAGGGTTATATGACAAAGAGTGCTGGGAAGACGGGACACCACGAGCGTAGCTCTCATCCTGTAACTACACTTACACTAACCCATGTTTATGTCTATGGATTACCTTAAGAGAGTAAAGCCTCCCATATGAGAGGCTTTTTGCATATCCAAAAATTTTGTGTGAAGCCTATGATTGGTTAATGCAGGACCTAAACAAGATTAACAAATATTGAAACAAATGGCTATTAGGAGTTCAAACTTAGCAAATGTAATGTAATGAAGATGGGGAGGACGGGAAACGACGCCAGAATAGCAGTAACAGCGTGAGGTGGTTACAATATCATCAGAACATAGTTACGTAGCAGTTACCTGTATCGGAGCGATGCCTTGACCTGTGCTCATCCTTGCGACTGACGCGTCCGTGGGCTGGGTCACGGGCGACTGAGGGCGTCCTGCGGGTGTTGGCTGTGTTCCGTCTACCGGCGACACGGGCGTCACTGCCATTCCGTGACACCCTGCTTTGGGGCGCTATCCTGTGCCTCGTGTCGTCCACCGTGCCGCGTCGTCCGCCACTCCTACGCTGCTCGTCGCTCTCCGTCGTCTGGCAGCGTCTGTGGGGGCTGTTGTGGGTGTGTGTGGGGGTGGCTTCCCGCCCGCGGGCGTGAGTTGGGGTGGGATCTCGTCCGCGGGCGCGTGTGGGGGAAGATTCCCGCCCACGGGCGCGTGTGGGCGAAGGTTCCCGTCCACAATAATCATAGTTCCCAATCTGCTCGCTGTGCATGGGGGACGTAAACAAATTATTCTTCAATTCAATCCTAGTGATAGACTCTCCGGTCCAGTGACAGGACTCGCAGGACTCACAGGACGTGCACAGCGCGGGACGACGGAGGTCCACGTGTCCTTGGTCTACGACCACCACATCGAGACCCCCGAAGGACCCCCGTCGGGAGCCCCCCGAGGCGCTGCGACCCCGACGGGGGCTATACCGAGGCGAAGAGTCCGAACTGAAGCACCGTTCGTCCTGGGAACAACAGGGACTGCGGCCCTCGCAGCACCGCTCGTCCTGGGAACAGCACGCGTCACTCTCAAGGCCGCGGGCGTCGCTGGTCGTCTTGTGGGCGTGCCTGTGGGCGTGCGGCGCCTGGAGTTCGGGCGTGATGCGGTAGTCGTCGCTGTAGGAGCCACTGCGGGAGCCTCGGGGCTTCTCCCGGGGTTCATGGGCCTTGTTGGAAGCCCTACTACGCCCCCAGCGCCCCATTACCATACCACCGGGACTCAACACAACATGGGAGCCTCACAATACAACATGGGAAGCCTCACAACACAACATGGGAGCTTCACAACACAACATGGGGTCCCCGCAACACGGACGCCTCACAACGCAACATGAGGAGCCTCACAACGCAACATGAGGAGCCTCACAACGCAACATGGGAGCCTCACAACGCAACATGAGGAGCCTCACAACGCAACATGGGAGCCTCACAACACAACATGGGAGCCTCACAACACAATGCAGGAGACGCCTCAAGCCAACCAGATGCACAGACAGTCCGCGGAGTTATGACAAGTGCGCGCGCTTTTGAGCTGCCTCTCCCACCTCCCGCCACGCCCACCCGCGCCTCTCCCACCACGCCCACCCACGCCTCTAACGCCTCTCCCACATCCCCCCACGCCTCTCCCACCTCCCGCCACGCCCACCCACGCCTCTCCCACATCCCCCCACGCCCACCCACGCCTCTCCCACCTCCCGCCGCCACGCCCACACACGCCTCTCCCACCCTCACGCCCCCACGCCACGCCCACCCCGTCATCCATACCACAACACCTAACTAATCACCCATCCGTTCTCTTACCCAATGCGTCGCATTTTTTTACGTAATTCAACTACCCGTTAGTAATACGACATATTAGCAGCATACGACATGCTCCAGGTCTATCATACCCTCTATGATCATTAGCACGAGGAGCGTCAAGATTGTGGTGGTTTAAGTATGATAACAGGTTATCATATTATCAGCTAATACGACATATTATCTAGTATATCATCGATAGATTGATGTCTGGATTGACTGATGTAGGGATACACTGATGTAGGGGGGGGGGATAGACAGGAGGATAGACTAGTATATGAATCAATCAATCACACTGCTACCCCCACTACCAGCCTCGCTACCACCACTACCACCACAGTTTACTACCAGTACCGAGGTTTCTTTCACCCTGAATGCCCCTGTTACCTAGCAGTAAATAGGTACCTGGGAGTTAGACAGCTGTTACGGGCTGCTTCCTGGGGATGTGTGTATGAAAAATAATTAGCAGTTAGTAACAGTTGATCGACAGTTGGGCCGAAAGAGCAGAGCTCAACCCCCGCAAGCACAACTAGGTGAATACACACACACACACACACACACACACACACACACACACACACACACACACACACACACACAGTATGTCCTCTACCTCATAATAACGGGTTTACCTGTTACCATGGCTTCTTAACTATAGTGAACCACCCCATTCTCTACTCCCTCCCCCCCCCACCCTACCGCTTGTCTACGCGCTCTGATTATTACTCAATGTGGACCAGCAGGTAATTAGGGAACACAAGCACTCTGGACCATGTTGCTAATAGTAGGTTACAGTCCCGCTCCTGTGGTGGGCAAGTCCACTACGGGCTCACCATAGCCCGTGCTACTTGCCCCGCTCCTGTGCCAGGTAAGTCCACTACGGGCTCACCATAGCCCGTGCTACTTGCCCCGCTCCTGTGGTGGGCAAGTCCACTACGGGCTCACCATAGCCCGTGCTACTTGCCCCGCTCCTGTGCCAGGTAAGTCCACTACGGGCTCACCATAGCCCGTGCTACTTGCCCCGCTCCTGTGCCAGGTAAGTCCACTACGGGCTCACCATAGCCCGTGCTACTTGCCCCGCTCCTGTGGTGGGCAAGTCCACTACGGGCTCACCATACCCCGTGCTACTTGCCCCGCTCCTGTGCCAGGTAAGTCCACTACGGGCTCACCATAGCCCGTGCTACTTGCCCCGCTCCTGTGCCAGGTAAGTCCACTACGGGCTCACCATAGCCCGTGCTACTTGTAACTTTTAGTTTAACAGTAGTTGAATCTTAAGATAACACCAGATATCATATTATTATTATTATAATTGGGATATATTTATACCATTATTAGGCTATATTTATACCATTATTAGGCTATATTTATACCATTATTAGGCTATATTTATACCATTATTAGGCTATATTTATACCATTATTAGGCTATATTTATACCATTATTAGGCTATATTTATACCATTATTAGGCTATATTTATACCCATATTTGGCGATATTTCTATCACAAACTTAATCATACTTTAAAATATATTCATTGTACTATGCCCCCCCCCCCCACACACACACACATCTATAGTTTTAGCCAAACAGTGCGGTTATTCACTGCACTGTTGATATTATTCACTGCAGGCTACGGGCTCACCATTGCCCGTGCTACTTGGAACTTTGTTCTCAGTAGTGAATCTTAAACAACATATTCACTGCTATTCACGCTATTATGCACTTAAATAATGCAGTTAATGTATAATACAATGAAGCGTCACTACACAAAGATGATTCACTACAATACTAAGATTATTCAAGTTTATATTGTAATCAAATTGAACGTAATAGTGAACGTAACGTGAACGCCATGAACAATATACCTCATGCGTCTCTCTTAACGATCGCTGCCTCTTAATGACACAACAACAAGTCAACTCACGCCAAAGTTTAAACTCTTGTGACGCCAACCACCCCATTCGTCGCCATGGCAACCACCCCATTCGTCGCCATGACGACCGCGACGCTCCATGACTCACGTGGGGGCGGTTGGGAATCGTTAATTCATTTTTGTGGGGGACAGGATGCCTGTGTGTGTGTGTGTGTTACTCTGCCAGTCGTTTGCCTGTGAGACTGAACGGATTATGAGAAACAGTGTGAGCCACACATTTGGGGAGACGGAAACAGACAGAAGCACGCGGACAGGCAGGTAGACAGAGGTAATAACAGCGTGAACGACCTGTCTAAATCACGTCTCGACGAGAAGTTGGCCTCGAGGACAATCAAGTGTATTAATTACAAAGCAAAAACCGCACAACTCCATTACGAAGGACCTGAAAACAGTATAAAAAACACTACAGCTCAAAAACATCAAGAAATCTCTTTGGTCCGGATGACTTGTGTTTACGCTCAGAGCTCACAACTGGTCTCACTGAACGTTTGTGAGATGTTTAGTATAGTTACGCCTCAACCCATCTGTTCGTTTTCTTTAGTTTTCAAAAAGAAAAACCAAGATCTTTCAAAGGATTAACTACACTAAAGGTTATTTTGAGGAGTAATAAACATTAACTCAATATTCCAGGATGTTTTAATAAACAGAAAGCCTGTGTATATATATACACAGGCTGCATGTATATACATACGTGGCCGGGGGAGAGTGAGAGGGGAGTGATGGGAGAGATGGGAGAGATGAGAGAGATGGGGGAGAGAGAGAGAGAGAGAGAGAGAGAGAGAGAGAGAGAGAGAGAGAGAGAGAGAGAGAGAGAGAGAGAGAGAGAGAGAGAGAGAGAGAGAGAGCAAAAGAGTTTGTCCACCCTGTCAATTCCCCTGAGAATTTTGTAGGTGGTTATCATGTCTCCCCTTACTCTTCTGCTTTCCAGGAATGTGAGGTTCAGCTCCCTTAGCCTTTCCTCGTAGCTCATACCTCTCATTTCCGGGACTAGTCTGGTGGCATACCGCTGAATCTTCTCTAACCTTGTCTTGTGTTTAACTAGGTATGGACTCCAGGTTGGAGCTGCATACTCCAGGATTGATCTGACATAAGTGGTATACAAGGTCCTGAACGATTCCTTATACAAGTTTCTCAAGGCATTTCTTATGTTGGCACACCTAGCATAAGCCGCTGATGATATCCTTTTAATGTGGGCCTCTGGGGACAGGTTCGATGTGATATCAACCCCCAGATCTTTCTTTCTATTTGACTCTTGCAGGATATCACCTCCCAGAGATGGTACATTATGTTCAGCTTTCTGCTCCCGTCGCCTAATTTCATTGCTTTACACTTTCCCGAGTTGAACTTTAGTAACCAGTTTCTAGGAGGACGGGTAGAACTGGGAAGATTAGACAGGTGTTGATATAGACTGTAATAGTATGTAATACATTACTGAGGCGAGGTATTGGAGCCCCACAAGTGCTCTGATCTGTCATATGGAGCGTCTAACTTGTTCTTAACAGCTGTGGCGACAACCATGACACACACACACACACGCTAGACGGGGGGGGGAGGAGAGAGAGAGAGAGAGAGAGAGAGAGAGAGAGAGAGAGAGAGAGAGAGAGAGAGAGAGAGAGAGAGAGAGAGAGAGAGAGAGAGAGAGAGAGATGCACAGACAGAGATACACAAAGTGCCAAGAGACAGAGACGGTGAGGAGGATAGACACACACACACACAGAAGAGGGAGACAGAGAGAAAGAGAGCTGCCTACAAAACATGATCCTAACGGAACATTAAGCGTCCACAACAATTTTGGTTATGGGGATCAAGGTTGTCCCGTCAACAGTGACCCCTTGAGAACCTCCGTGTCCCCCTCCCACCAGCAAGGGGGGGGGGGAGAGAGGGGGAAGCAAAGACGTCTTGGAAGATGAATGACTGAAATGGCAGCACATAGAACCACATGTACACACACACACACACACACACACACACACACACACACACACACACACACACACACACACACACACATGTAGGCTAGTTTCTGGACTCGCTGGAGGAGACAAACTCTTCACAAAACACCTTGTTAAGAGAATACCTCTCAGACAGGAGACAAAGGCTCACAGTGAGAAAGATATCAGAGGCGACAGAGGATCACGGTGATAGGGGCCCATCCTATACCTAAAGACACTAACGACCTGACATAAACAATTGTCTCATGGCACTAATTTAAAACTAATTTGAGGATTAAAGTAGTTAAACATGCACCAAGGATGATTCGAGAAGTGACCCCATGATGTTAATCCTGACAAATGCAAGATTATGAGAATAGGCCCAAGAGGTGCTAGGCGGCCCCGCCCCCTTCCCGGTACAGGACAGTGATAAGAGTAGTAGCAGAGTAGTCTCAGTAATGGTTGTGTTGTAGCAAAAGTTGTCGTAGTAGCCTTATTAATCATATTTCTGGTATTCCACCTGGTTTAGTACCTTGGGGGACCCTTTTCTATCTCT